ACTGTTTCTGTGAGTGGAATCAGTAAATTAAGGGAATCAGGGGATTTGCTTCAAAACTGCACATTTTCTCCAAGCCAGAACTCAAACATAAACCTAGAGAATTGTTATCCTAGTCATCGGTGCAGTCCATATCACTCAAGACAATCTCAGCTGCATGGGTGTGCAACTTCCTTGTTCACTCAGGATTGAATTTGACCCTGTTTCTTCATCTACCTCCCCTCGTGCTTACTTTCTGTCCCAGGTACAAGCTCCTGAAAGACTGTAGTCCTAATGAATGTCCCCTGCCAGAGTCCATACCTTTCATTTCACTCTGTCACTCCACTTTTGACTGGCATAATCTCTATTCAATTTACTGGAGTTTAATGGATCGGTGGTTTTGTAAATACCATTTAGAAAAAAAAATCTGAAAACAAAGAACCTCTCAGTTTCTGGAACCATGGAGGCTTGGCAGTTCTTGCATGTGTGGATGTGGAAAGAAAATAGCCAGTCAGTGTAATTCCATTTTTCTGACTCTTTTATCGGGAAACTTGCCATCATCATACTCTACATGCAGGCAAATTGTGTATGTTGTCAGGAAAAGAATGATGACGAGAGAGGAGTCCTGCCAGTGGGAATTTCTCAACACTGGTTTCCTGTATAACGATCAGCCTTTTTATAAATAGAGTCTCATTCCATGCAATGGTATAATATTAATCTGTCACCATATTTGGCACAACTGTAGGATCACGAACTACGTTCTTGCTTATTACCATTAGAGCTCATGCACAGAGGATAGACTGTGATAATATTAGTCTGGTCAGAGTCACAAGCCTGTCGGTGCCAGCAACAATTCAGTGTCTGTTTTCAATCTCTGGAAGTGACATATCTGCATCCTTTTGTCCCAGGAGGTAAAATCCTGGACTCTCTCTCTCTTCATATGAATAATTTGTCTTGTTACTCAGAGCCCTAAAGCAAAACCATGTGACAGTTTCTGTTAGCTGTCCATATGAGGAAAAAAAAGCCTTTAAGAAAGGAAGTAAATGTGGATCAGGCATGTTTAACTACTATGTATTAATAATTTTTTTAAAGCTTGAACAACTTCACCACACTCCAGTATGTAGGAGAAACAATTTGTTACCCCATGTCTTGTAAGAAAATTAGAGGGAGGCCTGGAGGAAGCCCAGGGCCATATTCCTGCCAGAGCTTTCTCAAGCAAACAAAGGGAGAACTATGTGGATATGATTCTTGTAAGTTTTACAGTTGCCCGAATGGTTCTAAATGATGTCAGTGACACTAATCAAGTCATTTATCAATTTCCCCCTACTGCTTCTCATGAAAGCTCTTGATTAGCTACAGAAGTCCTGGGCTGGGCTGCCTGCAAGCTCAGGAAGATGGTGCCAGTCTGATGTATTCAGCTCACACACAGAAGGCTGCCTTCAACCAAGATAGATTTAAATTTTTCCTTACTTGAATCAAAAAGTCTGTAGGAACTGATGATTTAAGTCCTTTCGTTCAATAGCTGAGCATTCCAAATGTGAAAGTTTCTGAATTTATTAGAACTGGATAGTAGTAAAATAGTACTAGCCTTTGGTACATTTCCATTTCAGTCAAATTGCCGTTAGAGACAGTAGAAGTTTAGACAAAGATGTTAGACTCATGTCTGTGTTATAAAATCATCTCTTAGCAGTTTCACTGAAATTGCATAAAATGGTTTCCATTTTTCAAATTTGTATAAAACTGAAAGTAATTTCCATCTAGAGAAAAAAAAATCTAATCCTCTTTGGAAGGATTAAAATGTAAAAATTTCTAGCAATACATAGTAGATCTGTAGGTGGATTTTATACCTCTCTTTTCAGTCTTGTAGCTGATAAATGAATCATTACCTGTTTCATATTATTGAGCAAGTCTGTATTCTTAAAGGCATTCAGCACAAAATATTCCCTGAGCAAGTGAAGACTCGAGATTGGCTAATCCTACTTATGTTAACCACTATAGGAAAGTGTGATTCCTGCATCTGCAGATGTTCACCAAACAGTTGTCTAGTCAAAAGCATATAAACTGTATAGGCAAAGGAGATAGTAATAATATCGTCTCTTTGCTTTCTGCCTTTATGCAAAGGGATCTAGCCCAGCCACCATTTACCTGTTGTCTTATTATCAAGAGAATTCCAGCTGCAATCAGCAGAGTGACTCCACAAAGTTAAGCAAGTATATCAAAGCGTGCAGGAACAGAATTCAGGAAAGATGAGTTAATTGGAAATCTGAGGAACTTGGCTGGGGAGCTGTGCACTGAGTTCCTGAGATAAGGCCCTCTATGTTTAATTACCTAGTTGAAAAAGAACAAAGTGGTGTTTTTTTAAGAAGTCTAAAAACATGTGTCTGATGTGCTATGCAATAAAAAACCCCACAGAGTTGTCAGTATTTCCTAACTATTCTTGCACTTTAGCAGGAAAATCCCACATCTATTGATCATTAACTAAGCATTAAGCTTCCTCTCATTTCTAGGATGATTAATAAAAAAGTAATCTGACTTTGGTAGTTGCTGTTATATAGCAAACATTTACGTTGGTAAATGTGGACATTTTCACCAACACCACAAGTATGCAAATCTCAGTGAAATCCTTCACAACTATTGAGGGCAATGCTTATGTGTTGACTGCAAGAAATAATCTTTCTGGAAGTATGTGTAACCAGCCCAAGAAAAAAAATTATTGTCCATTTTGTCTCTAAAATCTGTGGAAGATCTTATGTGTAAATGAGTTAAGGCAGGTAACAGGCAACTACAACTTGTTCAACCTGCATGTTCTGAGTAAATCAGTCCTTATCTAATTGTCCTTGTTTCTAAGCCTAATTGTCCTTGAAAGTATTGTAAGCTGCTATATTTTCATGCAAATTAACTGCTCAGGAAGAATTTGTCAGATGCCTTAGGCGCAGGTTTTATTCTACCTCTGATGCTTTCTGCAGACATTCTTTCAAGGCTTTGTCTACAGCAATTGTGTAGCTGTCAAAAGGAAACTACCATTCCTGAGCCTATTTTCACATCTCTCTTCCAGTATTTCATCATAGTGATTCAGTGTGCATGGGTTGGGTTTTTTTTTTGTAGGCATTAGAGTTATGTAAAATGACAATACTTGTGCTTGTCCAGAAAAGATAAGAACTTGTGGCAATTCTCACAGCGATGGCAGCTATTGGTTGCACAAGCTATCCTGTATATAAACCGTGGTTTGCAAACTGAAATCTGGCTCAACAACCGTTTAAAAAGCCAAAAGCCACACAATGTATTATTTTTGATTAGCATATACACCTGCAATTTAGAGCACAGTGCACCAATATAATATTAAGACTTATAAAAGATGGTTTAGGATTCATTGTATCTCATCAACCATACTAAGAAGTGCTAATGCTGGAAATATACTTGTTTCCAAGTTAGAAAAAACAGTACAGATAATTTCTGAAAGCGTATGGATTTTCTGTGTCTCTTAAACGCAATAAAAACTGAGGAATGAACTCCTTCAACATAATACTTATTTTTAACTTTTTATAATTTTACTTAATTTTTATGTCCTACCCTCCCTTACTGAAGATGCACCTATGCTGTTGCCCTGGCTATTGCTTCACTCATATTGTTTGCTTCAATGAAGCAAATGAGTCCATCAACACAACCAAGGGCTGCAGTTCAGCGTATCCATGCCCTGTTCCTGTTGCTCTGATAGGAAATACACCATGAGTACTCAACTGCTCTGTCCCCTGTTATCAATGTGCCTCCTCCCTGTCCAAAATCAATTCAGATTGGATGGAACTTCTTGGAGACCACTTGGTTCATCACTCCCCCCACAGCAGGGCCAACCCACCTAGGGTTTCCCAGGGAAAGATATTGTCCAAAAGCATCTGGTCTCCCTGACCAAAAGCACACATGTCCCACCCAGGGTGTGGGTGGCTGAGCACAGGAAGCCAGGCGTGCTCAGCCCTCACCCTGGCACCATCCAAGCACCATCACAGCAATTGCTAGCCAGTGGGCAAGACTGACTCTACTTCGAGCAATGGAGTGCAGTACTTTTGAAAAAAAATGAACTTGTCAGACCGTTTTGCCTGCTCCACAAGAGCTATGTTGGGCCACAACAGTACCTGTTGTCCCACAGCAGGGCAGTCTCCCTGCGAACCAAGGGTCAAAGCAAATTTCTGCTGTTTAAAAATCACATCCAGCCTTTTATCAGTCACATAGGCTGATGGATGAGCACCCAAGCACCTGCCTTTTGCCTCTGTCCCCACCATGGTAAAGCTGCCCCTACTTGCAGCAGCTGGTGGTTGATGTCAGCTGGCTTTCCATGCAGATAGAGGCTTTTCATTTCTCTTGGTGTTAAAAGGATGAAAACTTTTTCACATTTGAAATTTCATGTGCTGATTCCTCAGGTAAACCAGATCAGAAGTTGCTAGCAATGTTGACATCTTGTTTCTCCTCCAGAACCATGTCATTACTTGTGCTTTTGAGGGTTACAAACCTTTTGCATAAAACATTTATCAGCTAAAGGGGTACTGCCAACGGATAGAAGAAAACCTTTGCTATTACCTATGGGTGTTACGAGCACTTAGATTTCCAGAAATGATAGGTAGGTTTTTTCCTCTATTTTTTGCTGATTTCTTTGTCTGACCATTTGACAGTAATCCAGAGTTTCCTTTGAATATCCAAGGTATTAATAATTTTCTCCTTTTGTCTGAGCCTTTCATATTACAATGAAGAAATCGGTCTCAACAGGAAAATGTGATTGCTCTGGTACAAAAAGTAGAGAGGAATTCAGGATGTAACTTTTTTTTTAAGCAACGTGTGCAACTGATGTTGTATGTTAGGTTTTTATACTAAATACTGAATCACAGCATTTAATTCTGTGACTTGTTTTTAAGTAACCTCGCTTTTGAAGCTCAGGATGAAAAAGTGTGTTGCTTTAATGATAACTGTGTAGGTTCTCATCAAAACTGAAGTTTGGTCTCATTATCCCATTGTTCTCCTTTTCTTTTTTCTCCAAGCTGCCTGTCTCGTCCTGGGTTGTATGATTTTTCCTGATGGCTGGGATTCAGATGAGGTAAAACGGATGTGTGGTGAAAAGACAGACAAGTACACGCTGGGGGCTTGTTCAGTCCGCTGGGCATATATCCTGGCAATTATTGGAATCTTGGATGCCCTGATCCTCTCATTTCTGGCATTTGTGCTTGGCAACAGACAAGACAGCTTGCTAGCAGACGAGCTCAAGTTGGAAAATAAAGGTAGGACTGCTTTAGAAACACTATTATTGGGTGGCCTCGAGGGCAATTGCTTAAAAACAATGATTGGTTTCATTTTATTTTATACTTAAAAGTTGGCGTGCTGGCTTGTTTCCTAAGTTGCTGGGAAAGAAGAAGTGCAAGGGGCAGAGGAAGATTTTTTTTTCAGCCTCCAAAATCTAAGAAAGCTCAAAATTGCCATAATTGCTGCACTATGCATGACTTAACAGTTTTTAGAACTGTAGATGGGATGTTGTTGTGTTACTCACTTGTACATTATTTCATTAGCATTTAAGTTTCACTTACTCCATCTTTCTCTGTACTCCATGCAAGATTTGTTCATTTGATTCCTTTAAGATTCTGCAATGTAACGTGAATGGCTGTAACAAGGCATATGTGTCAGCCCTGTAAGCAGTAAGGGGAGAGTGTTGACTTAGGAGTTTGGCAGTGAACTGTATAATGGGACCACCTATGCAGCGAGTCACCGGTGGACTAAGGGCCCAGAAATTAAGAAGAATCCTAGCTCTAGTTTGATTGTGTTTCTTTGGGCTAATTAGTCTGTTCATGGGAATCTAGGATGCTGTAGTAACTGAATATTCATGCAATGCGTTGGGGATAAAACACATTTCTAGATTAAGAACACAAAACTGGCTCAGGCCGGTAATTTATCACGCATTTTTTTAGGAGAGAGATGCTGTTCTGTGAGTGTGTGCAAGCCTGGCTGATTTCTGCAGCCCCTTCCCCCAGTGCCCCCCCAGCATCCGCAGCTGTGTGTCTGGTGTGATAGATACCACAGAGGGCACATCCCTGCCTTGTCCTTTTAATGAGCCTGTTGTCCCTGGATCTGTCTAATCTCTGAACCTGCTGATACTGTCAGCTTCCACAGCACTGCGTGGCAGCAAGTTCCTGAAGCTCACCACTGACTGCTAAAGAAGTACTTTCTTTTATCTGTTTCAAATTGATCCCCTACTAGTTTCACTGAGTGTCTCCTAGTGTAAGATTCTGCATTCAGCTCATCCACCATCTTAATAATTTTGTAGGTTGCTTCTAATAATAGCAAAGATATTATGAGCCCTTCACTGCTATATTGGAAATCAAAAGCTGTTTGGCAGCCTGTGTTGTACAAAAATAGCTGATCTCAGTCCTGACCATTATCCAAAAGCACCAGCACAGTGGCCTGAGCTTGCTGAATTGCAGATAGCACACTTGGCCCAAAGATAAATGGACTTGACGATTGAACTTCACATACCATTCCAGACCTGCTTAAAGCCTACTAATGTTGTGGGTTGAGGAAAGTGTATGTTGCTTGCAGTTACATGTGTATGCCTGTTCTGCAGGTAAACTGATGGCATCAGTTTCTGTGTAGTCCTTTTCTGTAAGGTCAATATTCATCAGAATTTGGAAATTAAAATGCTCATCAAAAGGGCATTTACAGCTATGCCATAAATCCTTTTGGCATCAGCACTGGATCTGATCTGTCTATACCACACAGAGCTCTTGGATCCAATAACTACTTGTATCAAAGAACCTCATCTGTTTTGGCGCCTTATGAGCAAAGAACAGCTTCTGGAGACTCATCACCTCTCACATCACTGGCACAAGCTTCTGCCAGAGCATTTGGTCCTCAGCATGATGGACAAAATCATTCAGCAGCTCATTTTCCTTGGATTAAAGACAGAAATATACCACAGCAGTAGCTTCAAAGCAAACCAGAACTTGACAAAAAGGGACTCACCGCACCTTGCCCTTCACAGTCAAGCCTAATGTTCACCACTTTTTAAAATTTCCGATGTCTTCTAAAAGGACATTCTCTCCCCCCTTGTCACAAAAAGCTCCTGATAAACAACAACAAGGCAAGTCTAAATCCTGCTGCAGCCCCCCAGCATTTTCCAACCTGCATATGTTGCCACCAGGCACAACCACAGCCCTGGAGGGGTTTCAGGAGGACATGGCAGGGGCATGGGTGGGCACCACCATCCCCGTCAGTGGTGAGGATGTGGCAGGTACCAGTGCCAGCAGAGCACCAGCTCTCCATTTTGCTGGCCAGAGATCAGTCCTCCTGGCCTTTTAGAGGCCAGGAAAGCCTGCCTACATCCTAGTGACCAAATATCTTGCTAGGACAACAAGTCACAGCACTTAATTCCTTCCCATGGTCTCTGCTCTCTGTACAATGTAGGCTGCAGCTTGCCATCCCCAACATTATGCTGATGGAGCAGGGCTCTGGGACATGGTACCTCTACAAATCAGAGAGCATCTTTTTGTGTCTATTTAATGCAGTCTCCTAATCAGGCAAATTTTACACATTAATCCGTACCTTTTTAATTTAAAAAAATGACTTTGAAAGGAAAAAAGGTGTTTCTAAAAAGCTTTCACATTACATTTATGCCATTAGCAAAAGGAGAGGAGAGAACAGTATTACATGGTTTTCTTCAAATTATAGGAAATAATGGCAATGACTTAAAGGCTTGTATATTGTTAAACTAATAGCATGCGGTGCAATAACAAGAATAGTCAGAATTCATCTTAGCTTTAAGCTTCATCAACACCATTTTGCGTAAGTCATTAACATCAAGCATAAACCTTGATGTGTAGTGTAATGACATAATTTAACTTTTCTGAACTGTAATGTCTTAATGACAAATTAAAGTTCTGGCTAAAGGCTGAAGAGACCAAATGAGAAGTGTTTAAAAGATATTGAAAGTGCAAGGCAATTACTTTTATGGCAGAAAGTGGCAATGTGGTCCACACAATGAGTTATAAATACTAGAGCATTCAGAAGAAACAATCCTTTTAAGTAATATCAGTCAGAGCAGCTGGATGATGCACTTTGTGAACAGCTGTGGCTTTTCTTATGGATAGAACAGCTTCACAAGGTGTTTATGTTTAAAATTTAGCTCATCTTCAGAGCCCATCTGATCACAGATATGCAATTTGCACTAAAGGTCTCCCAGAGTTACAAACCCAAGGCTGAAATAGATAAAAGAAGCCAACAACTAGACAGGAGATATGAAGGGTTCATCTACCTTGCAGGGATTGCAGTTCCTACAGACTCAAACTACACTACATCACTCCCAACAGCCAGGCTGCAGAGAGCTCATTGCAGAGCTCAGGGCAGGTTGCCCAACCCAAGGCTTGCCGGTTGGCTGCCGCTTGCACCCTTGTTGTTCTCCACAGCAGTGCTGGCAGGGCCTGATCCAGGTTGCTGAAGGCTGGCTCTGTGCAGCTGCAGTCACTGCAGAATGAACATGGTTAAAGACAGAAGCTAAGGGGGAGTTGTTTCTTGGTGACAAAGCAGTTTTCTGCAGAAGAAAACCATAGCCTTGCACCTTTGGGTGGAGAATTGTCTTCTGGGGATAGTCTACCCACTTGATTGCTGCTGCAACGGAAAACTATCTGCAAAAGGCCTAACATCTGCAGTGAGTGACAGGAGGTGAGCGGGGCGCTTGTCTCACCAAGGGATGACATGACAGAGCGAGCATCAGCTGTCAGTCTTCCAAAGAAAAATAGCTCGGATTGTAGCAAAACTGCAAAGCCCTGCTTCTCAGCATGTAGTTCTCATGGCATACATTCACAAACAAGCATTCAAAAACATTCAGGCTAAGGTATTCAAAATTAGGTGAATAGACATAAATATTGATACCTGGTCTAAGTTTTCACATATAGCTACAATCCATGAAAGAATTGCCAACAGTCCTGGTAGTAATGAGTGAAAATCCAGTCAGAACACCATGTATATCCCTGTATACCCAGGTTCTCTATTTGATAAGATTTTATTTTGTGAAAATGTATACCCCTGACTCCTCCTGATACACAAAAATTCAGTATATGCATCTTTTCATTTTGACTAGCGTGTGCTTTTCAAAAATAAAAATACTTAAAAATGAAATGCAGGATTTCTGTAACTCTCTTCCCTTTTTTTCTGTTCATGTCTGCTAGTCTCCTCCCATCTTTCCTTTCTAAAGAGTTCAAGAGTCACCCACTTCAGCCTCTTGCTGCTTCAGTGTGTGGCTTCATAATCAAAGCGCTTAAGATGTCTTTGAACTCAGAACCAACTTGGCCACTTGAATTTCCGTTTGAGGAAGGAAATGTGGAAGAAACTCACTGGGGAGTGGTCTGTGATGAATTGCTTTAGACAGCCCACCACATGCACTTGCCAGGCTGCAGCTGGCAAGAGGAAGCTGGAACTATGTCAAAAGGTTTATGGTCTTGCCTCAAAGGAGAAGTGTTTAAGTACCCTTAGCTTTTCAAAGGCAAAATCAGGCTCTTCTTGGAAGTCCACAGATGTAGGTTCCAGGTTGGGAATTCCTGGCCCTAGTCTCAGAACATGATTCTCTGCCATGTCAGCCAAGAGCAACATCTCGTCACAGTTTGCATGTTCTCTTTCAACTTTAACTGACAAGCGGCTTATCTAGCATAGCATCACTGCAATTATCTCCAGTTGTTAATTTCTTTGTGTAATTATAACCTATTTTCCTATAGGTATCACCTACAAGGAGTTCTGGGTATAACAAAAGCAGGCAAATAGTAGAAGACATATTTCATCTAGAAACCTGCAACTAGAAGCCAAACTAACAGATCTTTTGTTTATAAAGGTTCTTTCCCCAAAAAATCCTGGTTTACATAATGGCAACCGTTTGCCTGTAATTTCAATTATAAAATTTTAAAAAGAGAAACTATAAACATGGAGACTTCATTGTGGTGGCATCAGAGGTCATCTCATCTCTCAAGGATGAAGACTCTCGTAGCACTGCTGTAGGATCTATGTCCAAGGTCTGAACTTGCATCCAAGCACTGGTTGAACAGTCATTGGATCCAAACCCAGGACTTCCCTTTGCGGTGCCTTAGTGTCGTTCACTCTCTTGCCCAGTGTGTATTGAATTCCGTCACATGAAGCAGAACAGCTCTAGCCTGAGGATTTTCGGTTCCCTTCCTCCAGTATTTTGTGTAGAACACGGTTGTTGGAGATCAGAAGTGGAAGTCTGAGAACCTCCAAAGTGAGGAGA